GAGGGCAACGGTGCTGGTCCCTGCACCCTCGCAGCATCCACCCTGCCAGCTCCCCCCCCTCACCATCCCAAGAAGTGCCTTTTCAAGAAGTGGCAGAAAACCAGATCCCAATCCCCACCTACTTCCCCGAAAAACAGGGCACCAAACGTGCAGGCACACGCCAGGCCAGGCACGAAGGGCTCGTGCTCGGGCTGTAAACCAACAAAACCAGCACAGGAGATTTTTCATGTACAGAGGGGAGAAGAATAACTCAGCTGTGACAACATATCAACAACAGCTAAATTTAGCGGGTTATTTTCAGAGATCCAGATGCTGGGTAAATACAACCTTATTATTTCACGCAAGGGCAAAAGTTCAGCAGAGTCCCTTGTGCTGCTTCTCTCTATTATTTCACCACATCCAGCCGCAGAAGCCCACTTTTGAAATACTGTAACATCATCGTTGCCTGGCTGCACTGAAGGAAGCCCTCAGCTCGGTCCCTGTCCCTCAGCAGTTAGAGGAGGCCACTGCTTAATGACATTTGCAGAACAGTCTCCTGATCCTACTTTTGGAGAGGCCTGATGCTGCTCTCGGCAGGGATTTATTCGGAGGGTGCAGTTTTCGTGTGCACGGCTGGTGTGCGAGCCTTTCCTTTCTGCTTTGTCCAGAACAATACATGGGAAGCGAACGTCAGAGAGGAAGCCGAGGGTTAGGAAATCCATGGAAACCCAGCCCCGGCTGGGACTGCTCCAGCGGGACAGTTTGGTGTGGCACTGTGTCCACACAGCCTGGGGTTGCCGCAGGAGGGGGGACACTGCCGGGAGGACAGCGAGTCCCTGTGTGCTCCTGCTGAGATGTTACCTCCAAGATTAAAATCACAGAATGGTTTGGGTTGGAAGGAACTTGAAAGATCATCCCATTCCAACCCTCACCTCCCACCAGACCAGGTTGCTCCAAGCCCCATCCAGCCTGGCCTTGAACCCCTCCAGGGATGGGGCAGCCACAGCTTCTCTGGGCAACCTGTTCCAGTGTCTCACCACCCTCACAGGAAAGAATTTCTTCCTAATATCTAATTTGATTTTCCCCTTTTTCAGTTTAAAATCCAAGTTGTCTCCCACTGTTACTGCTGAGGGAGCTGAGCAAAGCAGACCCAGCTATTTTAACAGCAGTGGGGAGCAGCAGTGATTCTGTACAGCTGGTGCTCAGGGAAGGGGCTGTGCTGCCCCAGCTCCCTGCTGCTCACAGCCTGGGATGGGACCTGGGTGGTGGCCAAGCATCCCTCCAGCAGCGTGGAGATCATCAGGCTGGGACATGGACATGTGGCCAAGAAGACACAGGTGGGAATTGCTGTGAATGGGAGTTGGACTAGATGATCTCTATGGTCCCTTCCAACTCTAAAAAATTCAGTGAATGCAGCTGAGCCTTTACCAACAGAGACTTGGATTTCACATGCAGTTTTAACCAAGGGGAAAAAAGTCCTATAAACATAATTCCCCCCAAAATCCAGCCACGGATGTGATCTGAAGGAGTCTTCCCTGCCCCTTCCCTTGCACAGAGCTCTCTACCCCTTTTTAACAAGCTCTTAATACTGATGTTGTTAATCTCTCCTGTGAAAGGGTAAGAGAGACCACCCAGGATTACCCCTGGAGCTCCCTTCACACAGCACCTTTTGTTGCCCAGAGCTTTCCTGTGCTGGCCAGGCTCAGAGCTCACCTAACCCTTACATGGATGAAAAGCAAGAGGCCAGGGTCACTGCCCTCCAGTTATAGGGGAACTGCTTAGAGACCCCATGGCACATCCCATGGGCTTTCTGCAAGGCAGCATTTCCCTTTCCATAGCACCAGAGGCTCCAGCCAGCAGCACCGCTCCTCCCCACCTTCACTGCCACCATCTGCAGGACCAGTTTTGAGCTCTGTGCCAAAAACCAGAGGGAATGACACAGGGAAGATGTCCCTCAGCTTCCAGAGCTCCTCAGAGCTAGTGACCACAAGGTGACCAGTTTACTGCTGGAGGTGTCACCGAGCAAAGAGCCACCAACCAGTGAAATTAAAAAAATGCAGGACTTCTACCCATCTTGTCCACCAGCGGGGCCACACGGGGCTGTTTCTGTGGGGTTGAATATGAGGACAAAGTGAGACCCGGAGCATTTCTCCACCACTGGGACCAGCAATACCATTTCAGACAAGTTTGGCAGCAGGGCCCTGCAGCGTTCTTAAAAGGGACAGCTGGCTGTGCCCCATCCATCAGCCCACAAGCCCTGTCCCCATCCCTGATCCAGCCCCATAGGAGCACACCTCCTCCTCCTCTTCCTGCAGATCCCCACCAGCCTCCAGCCCCCCCCAGAACCCATGAGCCTCCCACAGAAGGGTGGCCCCAACCCCCAACTTCTTCCTCTGCCTTTGCAGAGGGATGGTTAGGCAAGGAGCAGCCCGTGAACACGTGGACAACAACCATGGATCCAGCTGGGAGGTACACGGCGATTCCCTCCTGCCCAGCTGTCACTGGTGAGACATCTCAATCATACAACACTGAGGGGGCTCCGTGCCAGGGGAGACCTTCTTTCCTACAGCACGGTGGTGGTCTCAATGCCTTGGAGCTCCTAATGAGCTTATCCACGGAGCACAAAGATGAAGCATGAAGAGAGGAATTGAAAAGGAACCAGAAAGGAGCCGAGCTGCTGCCGGGCTGGGCTGCCCTGGTTGGATAGCTGATGGTGTAGGCACAGCAAACACACAAGCTGGTGAGGGGACCTGCTCCTCTCTGCTGGGCTCCTCCACACACACAGCAGCCAGGATTTCACGCCACTAATTGGTGATTAGCGCAACGCACAGCCAAACCACATTTGCTGCCATGGAGGGGAAAGGATAGAGTGAAGAAGGGGATGGACATGTCTTGGGGGGGTCCCTCCTGCACTGCTGGGGTTTGGTGGGTGCCCTGGCTGGCACTGCATCACGTCAGCTGCCTTTGCCACCCCTTTGAAAAATAACAGTTTGGGGGAAAACTCATACTGTCGACAGAAGAAACCAGAAGCTCAGCAAAGGGATGGTCCTCCTCATCTCATAACCCCTGCCCACCCCACAGCCAAGAGCATTCCTGCCCCAGAAAACATTGTCACAGCTTACCTGCATCTTTTTTATCTTCTAGCAATGTGAAACACTGTGAAAAGAAAGAAAAAAAAAAAGAGAACAGAAATCATTTTGTTGTCTTTTCGATTTGCACATTCATGGTCCCCCACCACTCGCGTTTGGGCTCGGTCCCCACCCCAGTCTCCTCTCTCCTGGAAAGGGGCTGGGACCAGCAGTGCCTGCGCTGGCTCTGAGGACAAGAAGGGCCCTAGCAAAGGTTTGTCCCGTGGGCATCAGCCCCACTAGCTTTAAAACATCGATGCCAAACATGGCCCAGAGCACTGGGCAACCATGGTGAGACCAGCACATGCCCACCACCGTGGCTCCCTGCCTGCTGGAAGTGATCAGAGGAACATCAGCCGGGACCAGGGGCTCTGCATCCCTGGGGAGAGAGGGAGGGCTGGACAGATGGACCTTTCTGCCTGACAGCTTGAGAAGGACGCTGCAAAGTTGCCCAAGAGCGATTAGGTTGGCAGGCAAGGGCTGTCAGATCCACGGCAAGGGGTCAATACAGAGTTTAGGAGGACATGGTCTGTTCCTCCACGAGTGCAGACCACGGTGCTCAGCTCATGGTGACACCCATGAGCCACCCGCACACCCGTGCATCACACCCGGGTCGCCCCCCACGCTGGAGCTGGGTCTGGACGGCACTGGGGAAGCCTTGGTGGGGCAGAGTCTCGCTCTGGTGGAGGAATCACCGGGCTGGGGTGTCCTCAGACACATCCCTCGGTACCCGTGCAGCTCCACAGATGGCAGTGGAGATGTCCATGTTTTAATCGCATTAGCAGGTCTGGGAGCAGAGCGCACAATGGTGTCTGCAGGCACGGAAAGCCAACAATAAAGAAAGGAATAAACAAAAAAAAAGCGAGAAGCTGAAAGCAGGCTGGGCTCTCGCTCCCTAAACCTCTCCACGGGCACAGCACCTGGGGTGGGAAAGGGACCACCAGCACCCCTCGCCTGGGTCTGGAATTCTGAGGACAAAGCCAAGGGACGTGGGATTTAAAGACGGCAGAGCCTTGCCAGGAAAAGATTGATGGTTGGACTAGATGATCTTTAAGGTCCCTTCCAGACTATGATTCTATGATTCTAAAGGGAGATGATGGAGATTTGCAGGGAGGTGGGGGAGCGATTTGCACGGAGGTGGAGGACCAGGAGGTGGAGAACCTTGGCACTGCCCGGGTCTGGAGGCAGAGCCCAGGACTATCCCCAAGCCCTTCTCCAGGCTCAGATGAGCCCCCTCCATCGCAGCCTCAGCCTCCCCCAGAGCAGGGCCAGAGGTGCTGGCGGGGCAGCAGGGATCGCTGGAGGAATGCAGTGTGCTGCTGAGCCGGCCTTTCCCACGGGCCACCCGGGACCCCTTCTTCCTGCCGGGACAGCAGGGTTGGGGATGACCATCTCTTAACCATCTCTTAACCATCTCCCCGCTGCCGGGCTTCTCACAGCAGCTCCTGCCTGAGAGCTGCCTGCTCGGCTCCGTGCTCCTCCAGGAACAGCGTGTGGGCAACTGGAGAGCATCAGAGCCGAAAATGTTTGGACAGGGAGAGGATCACCCTATCACGTCTGTTATCACAAGCTCTGCAAACACCAGCCGTGCAGCCAACACACGAGGTTGATACCCACGGAGTGGGGCAAGGTCTGGGGGGTGATGAGCAAGGGCAGGAAAAGCCAGTCCTTGTGCTAAGGCAGCTTTGGGGACCTTCCTCTCCCCCGCCATCGTGTCTTGGCCCTCACACCTCCTTTTTCCCATGAAATCTTCCACCAACCACAGCTCCACTTCATTTAACCTGGAAAGCTTTAATCCCAGGGACAGAGCCCTGCACGTTTCTCCCTTTTCAAGAAATCCCTCTGCTGTCCAGAGCAAGTATCTGAGCAACACCAGCACGGGGAGGAAAACAAGAAACCAGGCTGAAGCTGACACCACGTACGAGGCCATCGGTGCTCACCGAGGGTGGTGTCCTCCATCCCTTTGGCTTCCCCCAAAGCCCACCCAGCCACCCAACGCTGGGAGAAGCTCTCTGCTCTCTGCAGAGCTGCCCCTCTCCCAAAGCCTCACGCTCCATGGAGACTTGTCCACCACTTGTGGGACCCAGGCAGGGATCAGCTAGGTTTCGTTTGCTGGTGGGGGGTGGCTGCTGTGGAATTTAAGTGGAAATATGGGAACAGCAGTATGTCCACGGAAGAAGAAGAGAGAAACAGTGTCCACCAGAATACCCCGTGTTACTGCAAACAGAGCGATAGGAAGCTTCTTTTTCCCCATGGCAGGTAGCTGGAGGTGGTGAGCCCAGAGACCCTCACCCTTTTCTCCTGGAGTAGATCCCATCCCTTCTGAGTATAAAGGCCACCTGACTCATGGCAAACAGTCAAATATCTTCTGGAACCTCCAATTGCCTAGAACTTTCCTTATCACAGGCTCCTGCACAGGGCCACCTCAGTGCCTGGGGGTGATGGTGGGGAGGAAGAACCCCAGAACCAAAGGACAAATTTACTCCCAGACCCAAGAACAACTTTTGGCCACGCTCAGTCCCCATGGTGCTGCTGGCACCCTGCAAAAGCGTTTTCTGAGCAAGAAGAAGATAGAAATATCAGCTTAATTAGTAGAACCGGAGGGTTCAGACGAGGAAGTATCCTGAGACAGGGAGAGGGGGGTCGGGAATGTGTTGGGGTGAGGAGAAGCAGAGGGTTCAGATGGGGAAGTATCCTGAGACAGGGAGGGAGGGTCGGGAATGTGTTGGGGTGAGGAGAAGCCCAACACATGGTGGCTCTGCCCGGGGCCACAGCCAGAGGAACAGCTGCAGCTGGTGGGGGGACTGGGGACAGCGATGGCAGGAGCCATCCGACGTCTCCTCCAAACCACCCATGCCAGCGGGGCCACCAGACCCTTGTAGGGCTCAAGGTGATGGGCTGAAGCCAGCGGGCTGCTGGTTGCTTTCCACTTCACTGAAGTGGGTGGGCAGCTGGGAGCTGGAGCCCTTTGGGAGCTGTAGCTCTGCAAGGGGTGGTGGGGGGACAGAGGACCCTGTCTCCCCGTCACCACGAGCACGATGGCAATGACAACACGCAGCTGACAGGGACGAGGAGGGTTAACAAGGACATGCTAAGCTCTCTGGAGACAGCAGGGACAAGACAGCTACTAATATTATTAATGAATTTCACAAATGTCATTTTTAGACTCAACTATTTTAAGCTTTGCATGGAAACCCCGGGGGGACGGGCGTGCATTCCACAGTCACTTCACCACGGCAGGCCCGCTCCCTGGACACAGCCCGGTGTGCAGACCTGCTTTGGAAAGGGATTTTACTGCTTTTTCCAATCTGAAGCCCCTGAAATCCATATTAACGACACCCCCCAAAAACCCACCCCAGCACACCTACCGCTGCACTGCACGGACTGTGGCACAATAAATCCAACACAACAGAAAGGGGCAGGCAGAGAGAGAGAGTCGCACGTTATTAAGGCGACAGATGAGGAATTAAACCCAAATGAAAAATACCAGATGCCATGAGAACCACTGCTGCAGGAAATTAAAAACTCCGGGCCTCCGGTCTCGCTGTTCCTTTGTCATCCTGCTCGCAGTCCCTCCGGGTCAGCAAAGCCAGCCATGGTCCTCCTGCCTCCCTGGGAGCCCTGAGCCTCCAGGTGATCCCCCCCAAATCTATAGGGGTGTCCCCCAGCCCAGCCGTGTACGTAAAACATATCTGGGGGCTGGCAGCGTGCGTGGAGATACACAGAGCCCACCACTGACCGTGTGATAACCACTGGTGCTGCATCCATACACACACACACACACACAGAGCATCAGCTCCAGGACGCGGGTACCATCCCTGATGGGGAGCACGGGGTGCACTGAGCAACACATCCGCATGTGGCCCATCCAAAATTAAGCTTAACCCACCCCAGCACACCTACCACCGCACTGCACGGGGCTGTGGCACAATAAATCCAACACAACAGAAAGGGGCAGGCAGAGAGAGAGAGTCGCACGTTATTAAGGCGACAGATGAGGAATTAAACCCAAATGAAAAATACCAGATGCCATGAGAACCACTGCTGCAGGAAATTAAAAACTCCGGGCCTCCGGTCTCGCTGTTCCTTTGTCATCCTGCTCGCAGTCCCTCCGGGTCAGCAAAGCCAGCCATGGTCCTCCTGCCTCCCTGGGAGCCCTGAGCCTCCAGGTGATCCCCCCCAAATCTATAGGGGTGTCCCCCAGCCCAGCCGTGTACGTAAAACATATCTGGGGGCTGGCAGCGTGCGTGGAGATACACAGAGCCCACCACTGACCGTGTGATAACCACTGGTGCTGCATCCATACACACACACACACACAGAGCATCAGCTCCAGGACGCGGGTACCATCCCTGATGGGGAGCACGGGGTGCACTGAGCAACACATCCGCATGTGGCCCATCCAAAATTAAGCTTTATCCCTCCAGATGCACCCTGTGCAACCCCCATCCCCTCTAGAGACGTCTCCACACCCCCCTTCCCCCCGCCATCCCTTCCAGCAGCTTCTCCCCGAAATTAGGAGGAGGGTGTCGAAAGACAGACACCATTTAAATAGATGGCTCCTTACCTTGGCTCTTTTGAAGCAAGCCCAGAAAAAATCCAGCAATGGCATGATGATGGGGGGGTGGGGGAGGGAGTCTAAGGGGGCAGGCACAGAGCCCCCCTAGACCACGGGGCTGGGGGCAGCCCACCCCGGCACCCCCATGGCTGCTGCCCGCGGCACAGGGAGCCGGGCAGAGCAGGCAGGAGCTGGGCGCAGGCAGGGAGGGAGGGAGGGAAGGAGGAGGCAGCGCTGCCTGCGGAGGCGGGCCAGCGATTCAAACCCTGCACCGTTATTCAGTTGGTCGCCGGAGCGAAATTCCCTGAAGATTGCGAGTTTTTAAACGGCTCCAGGCTTTTCCTTCCTGCCTCGAACGCACCCGGCAGCGCTCCCCTTCCCAGGCAGAGGGGAAGGAGTGAGGGGAAAAAGAAACACCCCCCCACCGGGAGCAGAAGAAATGGGAGTTTTCGCTGTCAAAGGCACATGTA